GTTTAATGCAAACTGAAGACTGTAGTCTTTGATCTTCACCAATAAGTGCTTCAAGTTATCTTCAGGGTCAGCAAGCAAGGCAGTGTCATCTGCATATTACAGGTTGTTAATGAGACTTTCTCCAATCCTGATATTCTTCTTCATATAGTCCAGATTCTGATTATTTGCTCAACATACAGATTGAATACAGATTGAAAGATCCAACCCTGGTACACACCCTTCCTGATCTTAAACCGTGCAGTATCCTCTTGCTATGTATAGGTTCCTCAGGAGCACAATTAAGTGTTCTGGAATTCCCATTCTTCTCAGTGTTATTCATAATTTGTTATAATCCCCACAGTCAAATACCTTTGCATGGTCAATAAAACACAGGCAAACATTTTTGGTATTCTTTGCTTTCAGCCAATATCTATCTGATTCAGCAGTGATATACCTCATTCCGCATCTTCTTTTGAATCCAGCTTGAATTTCTGGAAGTTCCCTGGCAATATACATTTTTGAATTATCTTCAATAAAATTTTACTTGCATGTGATATTGATATTATTCAACAATTTTCAGATTCTGTTGGTTCACCTTTCTTTGGAATGGGCACAAATATGGATCTCTTCCAGTAAGTTGGCAAGGTAGTTGACATCCAAATTTCTTGGCATAAAGTAGTAAGTGACTCTAGTGCTGCATCCATTTGTTGAAACATGTCAATGGATATTCCATCAATTCCTAGAGCATTGTTTTTTGCCAATTACTTTAGTGTAGCTTGAACTTTTTTCTGCAATACTATTGGTTCTTGATCATATGCTTTCCCCCAAAATAGCTGAAAATTGAACAATTCTTTTTGATACAGTAACTTTGTGTATTCTTTCCATTTTCTTGTAATGTTGCTTGCATCATTCAATATTTTGCCATTAGAGTTCTTCCATATTGCAACTTGAGGCTTGAAATTTTTTTCTACAGTTTTTTTTAGCTTGGGAAATACTGAATGTGTTCTTTGCATGACAGTAAGGAAACTTCATAATGCTTTTGTCATTTAAGAAATTCTTCTATAAACAAGAAGTTGACTGCACACTCTCCTCATTGCCATTTTCATCTCTTTGTTCCTGAAAGTGTAGATGACTGGATTCAGAAAGGGAGTGAGAACTGCATCAAAAATAGCAAGGAATTTGTCTAGGTGTGATGTGGGGTTAGGCCAGGTATAAACAAAGATGCAAGGACCAAAGAACAAAATCACCACCATGACATGAGTTGATAAAGTGGAGAGGATGAGCCACTTGAGGAGTGTTTCCGAACAGTGATCAGGGTGAAAATGTAGGAGATGATCAATATAAAGAATGATCCGAGAGATATAAACCCACTGTTGGCTATGACCATGAACTCTAGTCTGTAGGTGTCAGTGCAGGCAAGTTTGATAAATCGAGGAAGATCACAGTAAAATGTGTCTAGCACATTAGGACCACAAAATGGCAATTTTATAACAAAAACTAATTGAACCACGGAGTGGATCAAACCAATTAACCATGAAGCAGACAAGAGTAAAATACACATTTTTTGGTTCATAATAGTAAAATAGTGGAGAGGCTTACATATGGCTACATATCTGTCAAAGGCCATGGCTATGAGCAGCACCATCTCCACACCACCGACGACGTGAATGAAGAAGATCTGAGCAATGCAGCCTCCAAAGGAGATGACTTTGCGTTTCCTGAAAAGGTCATAAATCATCTTGGGGGAGGTGACAGAAGAAACACCCAAGTCAATAAAGGACAGATTAGCCAACAGAAAGTACATAGGGGAGTGTAAATGTGCGTCAGAAGACACAGTAAGGACAATGAGAGAATTTCCTATCATACTTGCTGCATAAAACATAGTGGAGAACACAAAAATGATGACTTGAATCTCCCAGGAATTGGAGAGTCCCAAGAACACAAGTTCTGAAATCACAGAGTGATTTGCTCCAGCCATTCATTTATGAACTAGAGGGCTCTGAAATTATCAGATAAAGGAAATTAAGAGAAAACAAAAATAAAAATGGTATTAGTGTCCTAGAATTATAATAACTAATTGTTGTTGTTAGTTGTTATTTGCCGTAGAGTCAGCCCCGACTCATAGCGACCCCTCCTTAGGTTTCCGAGGCAGTATCACTACAGAAGTAGGATTGCCCAACCTTCCTTCCTAGGAGTGGCTGGTGAAGGATATTCACAATGTGCAAATTTTATATCCCCTAAATTTCTTCACAGGGCCATATAATCACTAAAGAAAAAATTTTTACCTTGGTCACCTAAAGCAGTTGTATCACTTCCACATGCAATGTCCCTATCACCATTGCCTCCTGGGATGATTTTTCCATCTGTAAACAAAAGAAAGGCATAATTGTGAAAACAGAGTAGATGTGCATGACAAAGATCATGTACATTGGAAGGCTGTA